TTTTCCATTTTTCTCGAAAACGGTAAGTTTTATCGTGAAAATAGGTCAGACAAAAGTTGTAAATCATACAATTCTCTACAAAAATGGTCCAGTCACTTTTTCACTTAAGACTCACCATTCGTGAGATATCGCGGTTTTAATCATTAGAAAATTCATATTTTACATAATATGTACACATTTCCGCCCCACCTACGAGGTAATGTACTTGGCGCATTTTTTTTAACGTGGTTTCCCCAGTAGGTATACGCCACGATCTATTGTCATTAAGAAATTTTGATCAGATCGTATCCTATTGATTGAAAAAATTTTGGCTAAGTTATGACATATTTTTGTCTATTTTGACTGGATCATTGCGTGGCAAACCAGTCATAGGACTGACGACCTTAAAGATGATTAAATGTTAATCATTTTTGCTTGTGATGACTGAAGAAAAAACGAATGAAACACCACATTGTAGATTAAAGTTAAAGAAATTAAATTAATTATACAATAACTTATGTTATGAAGCAACATTTGTGTCAGATTTCAATATTGTAGGTCAAGGAAAATATCCTACTACTTTTAAGAATGACCCGATAGGGTCTAACCAATATTATACAGACCAATTAATCGTTTAGTTCTGTCCCTCATTGATTTTTTTAAAATTTTTATTAAAAAAGTGTCGCAGTATTGTTGTTCATCGTATGAAAATAAAATAAGTTACAGTTGGAAAATTAATTGTGCCATTAAGAGAATTAAACAAATTTATAAACCTCTCGAGAAATTTAAATTGTTCAGGTACGTAATAGTGGAGGAAACCCCTATGTTTGATAGAAACGTATCAAAATTCTGATAAATTTTGTCGTGTATTCCCTAGATCCATACTGATTTGACACAGTTTCGCGGATTTACTGAAATTTTGCCAAATCATGATAAATCAATAGCCTTTGTGCCCCAATAACTCGAATAATAAAGGGGGTGTTTTCTGTACAAAATGTCCTCTAAAGGCTGGCGGATTATGTAGAACATTAAAAAGGAAAATCGTGTTTTAAATTTTTTGAATACAAAAATTGGAATAAAAACAATTTACCATTGTCCCAATTTTCCATACGTTTAGTAAACCAAATCTTTAATAGTTAATAAGGATTATGGATTAACAAAAATAGATCGTGAATAATATTGGATTTTAATTCTCATCTTCACCCCTTTGCTCTTAATATACATATAAGTATCTAAAAAAAGATGGAAACGTATATTTTTGTGGTGGAATTTATTTTTGACCAGTTTTCAAGTCCGCCCTTTTAGTAACATATCCACCATACCAGGCGATACTCAGGGGAATTTTTCAACAACTACAAGGGTGAATTGGGCCAGTGACCGACCTTTCTTTAGGGGAAAAGTCACAAACTTGATTAAAGGGAAAGGGAAAGAAAAGCGTAAGTACTTTATACGAAAAAAGGTATAAAGTGTGTTTATTTTTAAATTAAACGAACTGCTTAAAATTCACCCCTGGCTGTGAAAAATTTCCATTACTTTTATTAAACTTATTCCAGTCTTTGCGAAGGTTCAACTTTTGCATTATAGCTTTAGGGCTTCATTAATTACGAGATTATTTTTTATTTCCGTAATTTTCTTCACCTTTTCTTATTAAGATATGAAATGTATTTATCTAACCTACTTTTTAAAATTACGTATCATTTAACGTTATCGATTTGAAATTTCAGATAGAAAACTTTATAAAAATTTCTATTTCTTTTGCTAAAAAGAACGATTTAAAATACGAGTGTGGCAATGGGATAATAGGGAAATAGGATATCAATTTTAGAAGCTTTCAAGAAGTAATTTAAAAATATCAGGGAATTACGTAACTTAAAAATATCAAAGAATTACCCACTTGTAGATAAAGGAACATAATCATTTTCCTTTGATTTTGCAAAAACACACTTCATACAAATTTAAATTGGGTTGAACCACTGTAAACAGCGAAAATATGCGCGTATAAATTGGAAAATTGTTTATAAAGCAGAGGAAATAGCGAATTATTTTTTTCTTTTTCGTTATGTTACCTCACGCGTAAATTATTATTTTTTAGGGGAAGTTGTTCTTGTCCTATAATTATTTTTTGTGTCTACACTGTAACAGGCATTTTATATAGGATAATGTCTATGAAATAATTTGTCAGCGGGCCTTAGGGTTGTTTACAGGGCAAAAAACCACTCAATATTAAATTTCTACTTTTCAATAGAAGTTTTTCTTGTCCCACAAATAATTTTTTGTGTCTTAGCTTTTAGAGTCATTTAAAGTAGGATTGTCCCTGTGAGATAGTTTGTCAGCGGGTCTAAGGGTTATTTATAGGGTGTGAATGTCCTTAATATTAAAATACTACTTTTTAGTGGAGGCTTGTCTTGTCCCACAATAAGTTTTTGTATCCTAGCTCGAAATATCATTTAATGTAGGACCATTTCCATGAAATAATTTGTCAGCCGGTGCAAGGTTATTTATACGGTGCTGTACGCTCCAATATTAAATTACTACTATTTTTCACAGAAAGTTGTTCTTGTCCCACAATTATTTTTTGTATTTAAGCTCTAAGAGTCATTTAAATTTAGATTAGAATCGTGAAATAATTTGTCAGCAGCTGTAAAGGTTAATTGTAGGTGCTAAACCCCTCAATATTAAATTATGATTTTTCAGATGAAGTTTTTCTTGTTCCATAATAATTTTTTGCAACTAAGCTCTAAGAGTCCTTTAAAGTAGGATTATACCTATGAGATAATTTGTCAGCTGGTGTAAGGGTTATTTATAGGGTGGTATACTCTTCAATATTAAATTATTAGAGGGTTGTTTATTGGGTGCGAAAGCACTCAACTAGAAATTTTAATTTAATCAAACTACTGAGAAAGAGGACCCGAAATTATGAGTAATTTTCCTGGATTTCACAAAAACATATGACACCTTACCCTTACCCTGCCATGGGCTTCTCTTCAAAATCCACGAAAACGGCGAAATTGTTCTCATAACTTCATCATCATAAGGTCGTCAATCCTAAGACTGGTTGGACACGGACCTCCACTCTTTCATATCCTGAGCTAATCTTCGCATTTCCTTAAAACTAAAACATCCTACACCCTTAACTATTTGCGCACAGTAATCTAATCTAGGTCTACATCTACCTCTCCTAACTCCTGTTTCTGCCTCTAATATGTCTCTGACTAGACCTTCATGCCTTAGAAGGTGTCCTACCAACCTATCACGCCTATTTCTAATTGACTTCCATACAGTCCTCTGTTCTCTTACTCTTTCTAATATCTCTTTACTTCTAACCTTCTCTATTCACGGTATCCTTATCATTCGCCTGTAACACCACATTTCAAACCTTTTCTTTTCTGCAGCGCCCACTGTCCATGTTTCGCACCCGTACAGCGCCGTGCTCCAAACATACACCCTTAACAACCTTTTTCGAATTTCTAAATTAACCGTTCGCGAACATAGAAGTGACTCTCATAACTTAACTGCAAATTATTGTACTTTTTATTGATTAATTGATATTAAGCTTTTTATAATGTTTACGATTAGAAGAACGTTTCGTTTTATTGATCAACACATATCTCTATTATTAGAAATTAGGAAACTTATTCCTACAAAATCCAAGGTATGTGGCTGCCCAAATAATTTGAAAGTATGTATTAATATTGCGCTAATGACCTTAAGAACTATTCATGGTACTTGAATACTAGACCCTAACTAAACAGTTACGTAGTACTTCAAATATTTTATTTTTGGTTTGCATTAAAACAAATAATGTAATTGAAATGTTTTCGTAGATTGAAAGCAAACTTGCGCGATGTGGTGGTCGTATTCTGACAAAGTTTTTTCATGTCGAGTTAGTTTTCATAATTCTTATGTAAACTTTGTTTCAAATTGCATTTAGACTGTAATTTTGAACTGATAGGGTAAACTTTTAAACTTCTCAAACTGTGATTTCAAAGCTTGAATAAGCGATCCAATTTCATCCAACTTCTTAAATGTTTTAACGGAAACTCGTTAACTATAAGTACAACTGAATTTTCATATTTAATGCGAACTTCTCATTTGATTACCTTAATCAGTAGCAGCACGCATATTACAAACACTGCGGAACTGCAAAATCCCCTGTCACAGTTGATATGATTGATAAGTTTTAATATACTTAGTCCTCTTTTCTTTAAGTTTACTGACACTTTATGGTAAATCCTTATAAAGAGAGGTGTTTGACTGTTGTGTACATAGGAAACTGTATGGGAGAAAGTGCATTGTCACTTTAGATGTGCCAATCATGGCGTGCTGATGGAAGTTAAGGAAGCGTATGTTTCATGTCTTTATTTTCTTATTTTCGCAAAGTTTTTTCAATTTCAATTATTTCTAAACTGTTCTTTATTTTTTAACAGTTTTTGGCATGTTCATTGCTTACGAATGATTATTTTTAATTATAGTTATNCAGAAATAAATTTACTAGATATTGTAGTTGATATTACAAATTTAATTCTAATAATTAAGAAACTTAAATAATTTTTAAACAAACATTTCAAAATTGATATTATTACAAATTACTTAATAAATTCTGCTATTTTTGCGGCAAATTCTTGCGTTATAAAAATTAATTAAAAATAAAAATAGTTTTCTCCGTACGACACGAATCATAGAACGTCTCTACAGCTAATACGACTAGGGAAGTACCAAGTACATCAGGGATTTACAGCAATTGCACAATAGAAACTGCGAAATATCGATTATTCAGGTCAGAATTGGGATTCGTTTTTATAACGGATGGTTTAGTTTGTTCACAGTATACGGCGGTCTAGTATTATAATTATTATGAAGTGCGTTGTATTCTATAAAGGATAATTTTCGGTACATTAAAATTGTTGTTCGTTGGAATTATAAACGTATCTAGTGTTGTGCAGGTAGGGGATTATTTGTGAAGGGAAATGGCTGGAAATTTCAATTGCCTTGGGGCCTCTACAGGGTTAATCCGGCAGTGACACTGAGTGGGATGTTATTCTGTAATAATTAGGCACCTGTTCTATAGCTGGGGGTGAACAGTTCCTTTTGGCTCTCCAGGTGGGATGAGGATGACGCAACGTTGGAGATGTTGACGGTGACGGTGTTGTGATATTGAGAGTTCTTAAAGCTGCTTCTTTATCATTTATTTTCTCAACGGGTTTGGTGTAATTGGAACTCGCTTTGGCACTGTTTTGTAAGGAGCGAACGCTTAGAATGGAATAGATAAGAAAAAACACGGATAAACGGATTATTCGGTGCTGTTTTGTTCGTTGCATGACCTGAAAATAAAAAAAAATGGAAAGTTAAAAAGGGCGTATTAGTCACGCACTAATTAAACTTAAGAAGTATTAGTTGCCAACAAATCTTTTATTTATTAGTAGTACGCAAGGGGAGAAAAAGTAGGGAAAGAGCGAATATAAAGATAGGAGACGAAAAATTAGAAGAAGTGGCCGATTTTAGGTATCTATAGGAAGTCAAATAACTCAGGATAGAAGGAGTAGAGATATGAAACGATAACGATAACGCAGGGGGCTCGAGTCGCTTTAAACAACAAGAAGTCACTTCTATTCTCGCGAGCGGTTCATTAAGAAATTCAAAAAAGATTATCAAATGTGTATGTTTGGAGCGCGGCGCTGTACGGATGCGAAACATGGACGGTGGGTGCGGTGGAAAAGAAAAGGTTAGAAGCGTTCGAAATGTAGTGTTACAGGCGAATGATGAAGATACCGTGGATAGAGAAGGTTAGAAATAAAGAGGTATTAGAAAGAGTAGAAGAACAGAGGTCACTATGGAAGTCAATAAGAAATAGACGGAATAGGTTGGTAGGACACGAAGGTCTGTTAGAGATATTTTAGAAACATAAAGAGGAGTAGAGGTAGACCTAGATTAGATTACTGTTCAGAAATGATTCTGATTTTAGGGAAATTCGAAAATTAGCTCAGGATAGGAAAAATTGGAGGTACTTGTCCAACTAGTTTTAGGACTAACGACTTTATGATTATGACAATACATGACATATGTCATTAAATAATCGGTTCATACGCAATATCTCAATATTGCTGTTATATGTATGTATAGGTCCTCATTATTTATAAAAAAAATCGTAATAGTGACAACAAAAAGTGGATACAACGATGCCAAAGTAATTTTGTGTTGGAACATTTCTTATCTATGGTTAATTTAAATTTCAAATAAATTATGTTTTATTTTTATGAGCAACTTACATAGACTCCTAGAAATGGGAATACAAATAACTAAAATGACAATGACGTTTTTCATTGGTAGTAACCAATTATAAAATGCGTTAACTATCGTTGAATTACCATAATTTGTATTTTACTATGGAAAAACGTAAACGATTTAAAAACGTACCCCATTATTATCAGGGAGAAGATTATTTTTTAAATTAAAAAAACAAGTTGGATAACTTACTATTTTATGAGTAATTTTAACGTTTATTTGAAGAAGTGTCATTCGGCTATTTTACTTGTATAGTAGGGAATAGTTTCGTACAGTAAAGGTTAACGACAATGTAGAAGGAAAAGAGACGATATAAGTAGGTAAATTCGGAAAAACAGCTAGAAAGCTTTGCATTTCCAGGACGAGGATCGTGAATGTAATTATTTAAAAGATACCATAAATCTTTTGTAACGATGCTGTTAAAAAGAGAAAGGAAGTCGGTTGAATTTATCTTTGACTAAATTCCTTCCACAGACATTTTTCACACTACATATGCATACCATTCAGGATTAATTAAAATACAGTAATGTAATGTTGTCCTTAATGAGATGAAAATATCTATATCTAGATTCTTCCTTTCTCCTTGCGAAAATAAATAGGCATGTTATAATTTTATTTATTGACATGAAGGGCTAGTTGAGGACATATTAGAGGCACAAACAGGAGCTAATAGAAGTTGAAGTAGACTTAGATTAGATGTTCAGGATAAGACAGAGTGGAAGTGCAGTTCAGTCAAAATAGACATTCGCATAGAGCTGAAAATTGGCAGATACGTTAAATACGTCATTATAAATTTAAATGTCAAAAGCCCCCTTCGATCGTACTTCTGCAAAAAAAATTATTCAAGGTCAAAAGTGCAAAATTAAGTTTTTTTCCATTTTTCTCGAAAACGGTAAGTTTTATCGTGAAAATAGGTCAGACAAAAGTTGTAAATCATACAATTCTCTACAAAAATGGTCCAGTCACTTTTTCACTTAAGACTCACCATTCGTGAGATATCGCGGTTTTAATCATTAGAAAATTCATATTTTACATAATATGTACACATTTCCGCCCCACCTACGAGGTAATGTACTTGGCGCATTTTTTTTAACGTGGTTTCCCCAGTAGGTATACGCCACGATCTATTGTCATTAAGAAATTTTGATCAGATCGTATCCTATTGATTGAAAAAATTTTGGCTAAGTTATGACATATTTTTGTCTATTTTGACTGGATCATTGCGTGGCAAACCAGTCATAGGACTGACGACCTTAAAGATGATTAAATGTTAATCATTTTTGCTTGTGATGACTGAAGAAAAAACGAATGAAACACCACATTGTAGATTAAAGTTAAAGAAATTAAATTAATTATACAATAACTTATGTTATGAAGCAACATTTGTGTCAGATTTCAATATTGTAGGTCAAGGAAAATATCCTACTACTTTTAAGAATGACCCGATAGGGTCTAACCAATATTATACAGACCAATTAATCGTTTAGTTCTGTCCCTCATTGATTTTTTTAAAATTTTTATTAAAAAAGTGTCGCAGTATTGTTGTTCATCGTATGAAAATAAAATAAGTTACAGTTGGAAAATTAATTGTGCCATTAAGAGAATTAAACAAATTTATAAACCTCTCGAGAAATTTAAATTGTTCAGGTACGTAATAGTGGAGGAAACCCCTATGTTTGATAGAAACGTATCAAAATTCTGATAAATTTTGTCGTGTATTCCCTAGATCCATACTGATTTGACACAGTTTCGCGGATTTCCTGAAATTTTGCCAAATCATGATAAATCAATAGCCTTTGTGCCCCAATAACTCGAATAATAAAGGGGGTGTTTTCTGTACAAAATGTCCTCTAAAGGCTGGCGGATTATGTAGAACATTAAAAAGGAAAATCGTGTTTTAAATTTTTTGAATACAAAAATTGGAATAAAAACAATTTACCATTGTCCCAATTTTCCATACGTTTAGTAAACCAAATCTTTAATAGTTAATAAGGATTATGGATTAACAAAAATAGATCGTGAATAATATTGGATTTTAATTCTCATCTTCACCCCTTTGCTCTTAATATACATATAAGTATCTAAAAAAAGATGGAAACGTATATTTTTGTGGTGGAATTTATTTTTGACCAGTTTTCAAGTCCGCCCTTTTAGTAACATATCCACCATACCAGGCGATACTCAGGGGAATTTTTCAACAACTACAAGGGTGAATTGGGCCAGTGACCGACCTTTCTTTAGGGGAAAAGTCACAAACTTGATTAAAGGGAAAGTGAAAGAAAAGCGTAAGTACTTTATACGAAAAAAGGTATAAAGTGTGTTTATTTTTAAATTAAACGAACTGCTTAAAATTCACCCCTGGCTGTGAAAAATTTCCATTACTTTTATTAAACTTATTCCCGTCTTTGCGAAGGTTCAACTTTTGCATTATAGCTTTAGGGCTTCATTAATTACGAGATTATTTTTTATTTCCGTAATTTTCTTCACCTTTTCTTATTAATATATGAAATGTATTTATCTAACCTACTTTTTAAAATTACGTATCATTTAACGTTATCGATTTGAAATTTCAGATAGAAAACTTTATAAAAATTTCTATTTCTTTTGCTAAAAAGAACGATTTAAAATACGAGTGTGGCAATGGGATAATAGGGAAATAGGATATCAATTTTAGAAGCTTTCAAGAAGTAATTTAAAAATATCAGGGAATTACGTAACTTAAAAATATCAAAGAATTACCCACTTGTAGATAAAGGAACATAATCATTTTCCTTTGATTTTGCAAAAACACACTTCATACAAATTTAAATTGGGTTGAACCACTGTAAACAGCGAAAATATGCGCGTATAAATTGGAAAATTGTTTATAAAGCAGAGGAAATAGCGAATTATTTTTTTCTTTTTCGTTATGTTACCTCACGCGTAAATTATTATTTTTTAGGGGAAGTTGTTCTTGTCCTATAATTATTTTTTGTGTCTACACTGTAACAGGCATTTTATATAGGATAATGTCTATGAAATAATTTGTCAGCGGGCCTTAGGGTTGTTTACAGGGCAAAAAACCACTCAATATTAAATTTCTACTTTTCAATAGAAGTTTTTCTTGTCCCACAAATAATTTTTTGTGTCTTAGCTTTTAGAGTCATTTAAAGTAGGATTGTCCCTGTGAGATAGTTTGTCAGCGGGTCTAAGGGTTATTTATAGGGTGTGAATGTCCTTAATATTAAAATACTACTTTTTAGTGGAGGCTTGTCTTGTCCCACAATAAGTTTTTGTATCCTAGCTCGAAATATCATTTAATGTAGGACCATTTCCATGAAATAATTTGTCAGCCGGTGCAAGGTTATTTATACGGTGCTGTACGCTCCAATATTAAATTACTACTATTTTTCACAGAAAGTTGTTCTTGTCCCACAATTATTTTTTGTATTTAAGCTCTAAGAGTCATTTAAATTTAGATTAGAATCGTGAAATAATTTGTCAGCAGCTGTAAAGGTTAATTGTAGGTGCTAAACCCCTCAATATTAAATTATGATTTTTCAGATGAAGTTTTTCTTGTTCCATAATAATTTTTTGCAACTAAGCTCTAAGAGTCCTTTAAAGTAGGATTATACCTATGAGATAATTTGTCAGCTGGTGTAAGGGTTATTTATAGGGTGGTATACTCTTCAATATTAAATTATTAGAGGGTTGTTTATTGGGTGCGAAAGCACTCAACTAGAAATTTTAATTTAATCAAACTACTGAGAAAGAGGACCCGAAATTATGAGTAATTTTCCTGGATTTCACAAAAACATATGACACCTTACCCTTACCCTGCCATGGGCTTCTCTTCAAAATCCACGAAAACGGCGAAATTGTTCTCATAACTTCATCATCATAAGGTCGTCAATCCTAAGACTGGTTGGACACGCACCTCCACTCTTTCATATCCTGAGCTAATCTTCGCATTTCCTTAAAACTAAAACATCCTACACCCTTAACTATTTGCGCACAGTAATCTAATCTAGGTCTACATCTACCTCTCCTAACTCCTGTT